AGTCCGAGACACGTACTTAAAAAGCAAAGGCATTCAGAGGAGAGGCCTGAAGCAAACAGAATGCTGCAGAGTCCGGCTGCAGCAGTGCAGTTACACTTCTTCGGTACACGTGAAAAGTGAACAACAGAACTTGTGTGGGAGTTTGGACAGCCAGAACTTGGAGATCAAAGAGGAGATACCAGGCAAAGAAAGGGGTGATGAAAGCAAATTGAAGATTTCAGTAGAATGGGAGCTGATGGGGGGAAGCTGATACCGAGGCAGCAATAGGCAGTCACATATAGGAACTTGAGAGAAGAAAGCATCCCAAGGCCAAGGAGGACATCATCGTTGCAGCAGAGGCAACCGGACAGTTGTAACTGAAAACAGACAAGGGTTATGTTTGCTCTGTTTCTTAAAGCTGAGAGAATCAGTCCACCAGAAGATGCTCAGCACCACCACAGAAGAGGTAGCTGCAGACAAAGTTCACCACTTCAGTCTGTCTCTAGGCAGCTGGGATGAATTCCACCAGTTCAAACTGTCTGGAACTTCAACAGCAGAGATGAGGTTTTAGAATAGCACTCCAGCCCTGCAGTTAATCGGGATCAGTAGGAAAACAGCTATATTAGCAAATACACAAATACTACCATTATCCATCCTTTCAACAATACGACATCTCCAGATACAAAGTAGAAAACATAGTTCTGGTTCAACTGCCCGTATTTTCATTAAGTACGTATTTCCAGTTCCATAAGTCTATATAAATACTTTCATGAGGGAAGTCAGAAAGTAGTAGTAACAGGAGATTGACTATTCCAGAGGTAGATGTAATTTAGCAGTAAAAGACTATCCCTTTACACAGTAGAACAAGAAAGCCTTTAAAAAATTCTTCACGTGGTTATCACTTTACTGCTCAAGCAAAGTGAAGTATGTGAATTGCTTCATACTAACCAGCGCAAACAAGCATTTCTTTAGAAGGCTCACTGATCTGGCACACTGTATTTGTCAAATGGTTTAAAGATAACAGCATGGGTTAAAAAAATGCATTGTTTACATAAGCAAATTCCACCTCAAAGGACATCTAAGTACAACCCCTTCTCTCCCCCACCACAGAAGGCCACCTCTAAAACAGAAGGCAGCAATTTTCCAAGAATGCTACAAAGGGTTTTATCTCAGTAAGAACTCTCAAGCATTGAAGGAGCCAAAATATTGCTCATTTTCTTTTCAGGTTGCAGCCCAAAACTGTTATTGTTACCACAAGGACTTTTAGCCTACTGACGCAAAGAGATTAGCAACTCACAGCTAAGATTGGCGATAACCCCACATTACGAGTCTAATAATTTCTCCATCTGTCTCCCGAACGTTAGAAGGTAACTCCCATATCAAATGTACTGTTGCATGGAAGGAAAAATAAAACACACCAGAGCCACCAAGTAATTTACTAATCACAAGCAATTCATGTGATTTATGCCTAAATCGGTCTCCAAACACCACGTCTGACACATCAAAAAGGTTTTCATCTTGACGCTTAAGCACTTTTCTTGAGCGTGACTTCACATTAGTTATCCCAAGCGTCAAGGTGCCATTATTAGCTAAGGATGGGGCAGAAAAAGGAATGACTTATTAATAGAACTGCCTGGGAAACAGGAAGTTTATTTGGTTTTCCTAAAAATTACACAATGCAGAAGTTTTCTATACAGCTCTCCGAGGACTGTTCCCACATGTTTAACTGGAACTTCAGAGTTTGAACTCTGCATCCTCGTTCTTAACGGACGCTTTTTACACTGCTGAAGGGGATGCTTTGCAATACTAACAATGCTTTACAAACTCTATTCATCTGACCAGCCGCTTCCTGCGCGGCGGAAGAGAAGGCAGAGGAAGCAAAGGGCTGAGGAACAATACTGACAGATAGGGGATTCAGCAGAAAGACAGGATTGTTAAGCAGCATCCAGACAGCGCTTCCCTCCGACAGAGCAGTTCCAGTCCCTGCAGAACGGTTCCTCTCAGCCGCTCCCGCAGCGTGGCAAGCAAAGAAACTATCTGCTGGGAAGTAAAAACACATTTTGTTTTATGGTGCATCCTCCTAGCCTGGAGAATGTCGGGCTGGACTGAATAACATGCCCGGGAGGAAAAGGGAACGCAAACCGAGACAGGCATGCAGACAAAAGCACAGAACATTCTGGTGGATGGGAGACTTTTGCCAGAGGTAAAAGATTTGGCACCCACGGGTGGCAGCAGGTCAGCATTTCACAGGGCATGTGAAATCACAGGTGATTTGTATGGTACAATCAGATTTCATTACCAAAACACACACAGCAGAAAATCACCATGGCACTAACATTATTTTTAGAAACAGCACGACTAAGCCACAAGATCCTCACGCTGCCGAAGAATTCTCATCCTTTACAGCAGCAAGGAAGACGCCAACCAAAAAGAAATGTTAGAAGTTAAGATGTTGGGGGGTTCAAAGTTAGAAAGGAACTAGCAAACTCTGGAAGGGATGGATACATGCAGTTAAAGCACTCAAACAAATTGGGGCACCACTCCCAGAACAGGGAGAAAATAAGAACTGTCACTTGAATTAGATGTCTTTTCAGTGACTCAGAAGTCATCCTTAAACTCTTCTTCCTTCCTGCAGGATTGAGGCACTCTGAGATGGCACAGCCCTGACTGCCTGCGCCCCTGTGCTTATCTACTATCCTGCCAGGATACTCAGCTTTTTTATGGTCCTGCATATAAATACAAGAGACTAGGCAGGGACAAACTGTGCACTGAGGACAAGCCCATTACTCTGATTCATACAGATGTAAATTACACTAATTACAGTTAAATAGAGCAACATCATGTTGAACCTTGAAGCCTGGAATCGTCACTGTACAACATCACACAAAGAGCTGTGCCCTTTTGTGGGCACAGCTCCCCATACTGAAGTAGAAAGTCAGTACACTGCACATTTTGTATACTCCATGTGCAAACCGGACAAATACAGCAGCCTTCCTACATTTTAAGATATTTCAAACCCCTTAAAATAGAGAAGTGAGTTTGGCACGTATAAACCATCTTGGGCAAGAAATCTGAGTAGCAACATGGTGCCAAACAGACTAATGTGAGGAAATGCAATGATGCAATGAAAACTGCACAACAGCCTGGCTGCACCTATCCCTTCCAAAAAATCTTTTACAAATTTAAGTAAGCACGCAAGCTTCCTAGCCCTCGGACCTGGAGAAAGAGGGTTTTCTTTATGGTTCTTTCTGTCCAAGCGGTAGGTTTTCCATCCTAAATTTCCGCAGTTAATACCGTACACGTCTGCAGGTAGCGAGCAAGCTGATTCCTCCGGGTTTAGTGTTCAAGTCAGCAGGGTTGCTTTTAGGGGAGCACCTAGAAATGCCCGAACAAGCAGAGCAGCGGCGTCTCCCATCACGCGAACCCCCGTTCGCGCCCAGCGTCCTCCTGCCTACGCAACGGGAAGGTAACTGGATGCAAGCGCTGGCGTGCAACAAGCAGGCGCCTGCTGCCACCGCCAGCCTGGCGGGCCCTCTCCCCCGGCCGAGGCGCAGTCAAAGGGTCTTCAGAGCCCACGTCCCGCTCCCGAGAACGGCGGAGCCGGGCGAGCTCCGCGGCACGGAGC